AGGGAGTGAGGGAGGGGGGAGGGCGTGGTGTGCGCCGTTCGTGTGTGGTGCTTGTGGGTGCTCGTCGCCATTCGTGGTGGTGGGCGCTCGGCTGGTTGTCGTCGTCATCGTTGTTGTTGTCTGTTGTTGTTGTCCGTCATTGTTGTCTGTCGTCGTCATACAATTGTTGTCCGTCGTCGTCATACAGTGTCGTCATCCGTCGTCTATCGTCGTCGTACGGCGTTGTCGTCCATCGTCTATCATCGTCATTGTGCGGCATCGTCATCTGTCGTCATTGTGCGGCATCGTCGTTCGGCATCATGGTCCATCCTCGTCGTTCGTCGTAATCATCGTCATTGGGTCCTGCGTTGTTTTGTATGCGTGCGGTGTTGTGTTGTTTCACGACGTGAGGGTGGCCGCCCGTCACCTTCCCTTTGGGGGAGTGCTGATGTGGGGTGTGCGCACCGTCAACTGCCAGTGAGCAGTCGACGGCGGTGGTGTCGTGTTAGTTGGGTGGGTGGTGATAGAGGTGGGGTGTACATACCATCTGCAATATGAAACGACGATGACGACTAATCTCGTCGTCGTCGTCATCCCGTCACCGTTGTCATATGTTGATGATGGTGGTGGAGGGCGTTCACAGTGGGTGGGTGCTCATCGCTGTTTCTTGACACCGGTGATGGGCGTTTGTTGACAGGGTGCTCAGCCCTCGTTTCCGTTTGAGGATGGTGGGCAGTGGGCGTGGGCGCTCGCGAAGTGGTGGTGAGCGCTCGTCGTCGTTTGTTGGTGGTGGTGGATGGGCGCCACGAGCTGGTGGATGGGCACTGGTGGCCGGTTGTCGTTGCTGGGCCATCGTGTGGTCCTCGTGTGGTGCTGGGCCCTTGTCACCGTTCGTTGTTGGTCGTGGTGGTCGTTGTCGGCGAATGTCGTGGTGGTTGTTGGGTGCAAGATGGCACGTCACAAAGTGTGACGTTAGTGTCCGTCCTCAAACAACAAACACACACCTTTGTAATTTGTAGTGTCTATTACAAATTTGTAGTGTCCCCTTTTTTCTATTACAATAGTTTGTATTGCCCGTTAAAAGTTGTAGTCTCGTATAAGTTCGTAGTGTACGGTCAAATCTTTTAAGGCTACAAAAATTGGTAGTGTCTGCTTTTTTAGACTACAAAGTTTTGTAGTGTCCGCTTTTTTAGACTACAGAATTTGTAGTGTCTGCTTTTTAAGACTACAAAAGTTTATAGTGTCCACTTTTCCAGACTACAAATATTTGTAGTGTCTTGCTTTTTCATTAGCAAAGTTTGTAGTGTCCGATTTTTTTGACTACAATGATATCCTTGACTGTGTAGGTACATGAAAATAAAGTTGACTTTATACAAAAAGCCCTCCATCATTCAGTCTTTGTACCTTGCAGAGAATTATAGTCAAGACTGACTATTGGAAAGGGTTGCATAGTGGCAATGAGACAGGATGTCAGAGACTTCAAACTCTTCAGAGAGACCATGTGCAGAGATCATGTCAAGGTTGAATATGGTTGGCAGACATAGATCAGTGCCTAGATAATGATATGACCAGAGAATGGCTGGGGCTGCCAAATGGAAAGACAGAACACCACTGATGTGAAACATAACTTGGGCATGACATTGAAGGGTTTGCATTCTTTGACATCTCACTGTAAGCTATATATCTGATCTTCATGATCAATTGTCAGTATGTAACCCTTTCCCATAGTCAGTCTTGACTATCATTCTCTGCTTGCCTGTCCTGTCTTTCCATATCATAATCAGCAGTCACTTGTAACCCTCTCCTGTGGTCAGCCTCAACTGTACTAAGACTGAAGGATGGAGGGCTGTTTGTTCAAAGTCAACCATATACCATGTACCTAGATAAAGCCAAGAACACTACAAAATATCAGAAGCTAAAAAAATTACAGCACAAAAGGCGTCAACCTCTAATCAACGAGCAACCACTAAAGGGAAAGAGAAGGCCTCTATGACCCCCTTGTCGGCATCCACGTCTGGCATGGCCGATACAGATGAGTTGGCCGATGAAGACCAAGTCATGGCAGATGTGGATGATGCCTGACTTTAAAGTACCTAACATCTTTATCAGACAACATTTGAATTCAGAATATATACTAAATAACTCGAGCAAAGGGACAATTTCATTACATACATAGGACACATAAACTGGTAGTAACTTCACTGTATTGCAGGCTCGAACTTTCAACAATATGGACATCATTCAGCCCAAGCAATGACAAGAACACTTACACCAAGCATGAACAGATCATGTGCAATAGTGGTTGCATAATTAAAAGGCTTCGACAACTCAGATATATTCTGAAACTGGAAAATATCATTTTTGGTGCTACAGTGTTACCCTATGCAAACTAATTTCATTCATTTATAAACTGAGAGCAGATAGCATGTGAGTACTGAGTGATTGTTCCGATCACATGCAATTACAGATCAATCTCTGTCTGCGCAATTAAAAAGCTACAATAAGTCAGATATATATTCTGAAACCAGAAAATATTATTTTGGGTGCTACAATGTTACCATGTGCAAACCAATTACAGTCGACATTCTCACAATGCATAACGCCGGTCCCCGGCTTTTTCTATGCATTGTGGGGTTATATGCAAGGTGAAACGTGTCACAAAGTGTGACTATTTGTGACCTCTGCTAAAAATGTCACGCTTCCAAAATCATTATGTAGCAAGGCGAAAACTAGAGTATTTACATGGTATCGACATCCATGGGGGAGCAACTATCATTGAAAAAAGAGTCAAGAGATGTTTGTTGGAAAGAATTTGCTTGAACCCTGTGAAGATGAGCCCTCAACTTGCGCAACTGTTGTTGCAAAAGCAGTGTTGACACGCCACGAGCCTCGGAGTGGGTGACACACAGCTTCTCCAAATGCTCACACAGCTCCATTGATTCTTTCAATGATGGCGGCCTGTGCCCACCTCGAGGTTTCCGTTTCTTCTCTTGGGCTGCTGGCGTGGAAAAGGGTGTTGGCGAGTTTGGAAATTATGCTCAAGGGGTGTATTCGTGGCACATAGGCAGATCAGGGTAGATTTTGGCCCCAAAAAGTCAGGTACCATGAGGTGAACAAGTAAATACCCGGTGAATCTGTAGATTTGGTTGTGCATAATCCCAAAATCCAGTATGCATTATTCAATACGATATTTCATGCATAAATCCCTGCGTACCGAGTTGGTCCCCGGAAAATCTCATGCATTGTGACACTTATGCATTATTGCTATATGCATTGTGAGTATGTCGACTGTATATTCATTTATAAACCAAGAGCAGATAGAGCCCAAGTGCTGAGTGACTTGTTCCAATCACATGCAATTACAGATCAATATCTGTCTGTGCGATTAAAAAGCTGCAATAAGTCAGATATATATTCTGAAGCTGGGAAATATTAGTTTGGCTGCTGCATATAATTCGAACAATAACGAACAATAAATACTATAAACGTGATGATTAATTGTAATTTCAGCAAGCAAACTCAATTGAACTCCTAGAATGACAAGAATATATGGTGTAAAATTATCTACATAGTCTGTACAAAAAAATGCGAATGGTATTGGTAAAGAGTCGGGGAATGCTTAACCAATGAAATGACGGAGATGGTTTTAAGTAATGTACGATGGGGTCCAAGATGAACCGTAGCGGGCCATGCGGCTTGCTTTTCAACACAGACAAATAAGAGGCTACAGCCGAAAGTCCAGGCATGATGGTCTTTCACGTGCGCTTCTCAACATTATGCTAATGTCACAATGTGTGACGTGGCTTCTCTCTTCAACCCACGACCACCACCACACGCCAAATACAAACCACGACACCAACCAGACGCCAATCACCACCATCAGCAAACATACCAACCACGCCGCCAGCCACTACCATGAACAAACGCCCAGCACCACCGTCAGACAGAAACGACGGCCCACCACCCCGTCAATGAACGCCCATCACTGCTGTCAACAAATGGCGACGAGCGCCCACGACCCATCACCGACGAATGGCGCAAGGCCTTTGAACAGATGCAGGCAACAACGAGCCGAGGTGAGCAACTCACCTC